AATTAGGGAATTTGTTTGGCATGCGTGGCATAGTGGGGTTCACGTTTTAATCCGCTCTAAACAGGCGTTTTATGTCCCGATGATAAACACTTTACAAGTCAAACTCGTTTCACGTCTATAAACGCTCTGCATGTTCAAATATTGAATGAAAAACGTTCAGGCTTCTACAGTGCATGGCTGAGCAATGTTTAGATTTATGCAAACTCCAAAAACCCCTCAACGGATTAATCTGGTCAGTAAGCATTGTGATTTTCAATTCTCGACTTCGTCAGCACCAGTGGCTTCAGGCTTTGGTTTGACATTTAACTTTACGTGCCATCAGACCCTCTGTTGCAGTACTAGTGCAACTCCTTTTTGTGTTTTTTTTATTTTCATTAAAATTCTACATGTCCGAACAAAGCCAAACCTATGGAATTCTCTTAAGTGATTTTGAAACGAAGCTGAAGACACGAAACTTTTACAAAGCCTGGATTTGTGAACTGAATGTGCGCAATCGCACCACACACGAGGCGCGGGCAGGGAAGTCGCCAAGACGTTCACATTGTTCACGTTGAAACCCATGCAAGCCGACGTGTCGGGGCATCACAGATCTCTTGCAGAACGCAGTATCATCGTATGGTTTGGTTAGTATATCCATTTCTATCATTTCTTTCAACTCTTTGTAACTCCTTGAAAAAGCAGAATATTTTAAATAGGAATACGTGGAACCATGTGAACGTGGTTTATGAGATGTTACTTAATTACAGTGCTATTTAGACCTTAAAATTCACTATTTTCTGATCTGACTGTACTGCAACAGGACTAGTTTTGTGTTTAATTAATGAGGTGCTCTGTATTTTGAGTGAACTTTTGAAACACAGCTGAAAACTGAAATGTGTGGATACTTAGACGCCAGGGGGAGCATACACATGTGCTGAGAATACCGGGCGAGTTGCCAACCTTGACTCTGCACTGACCTACTTACAATTCATCGAACTATTTCTCATGAGGGGAATTCCTCATTCCAGCAGGAACAGTGTTGCGCAAATTACATATGTTGCTCTGATGACCGTGTTTTGACAATGGTATGTGTGATATCACATGACACTGATAAAAGACTGCGTGTCTCAGTGTGCATTGAGTATTGTGTCACGGAGAACGCATTGTTGGACAACCTATATTTGGAAAGATTTCACATGAGCAATTTTGTCAGATTATATAGTATTTCAGTATTTGCAGTATTTCTCATGGGGGGATTTCCCTGTCGTGTTTCAGCACATGCGTTTATCAATGGACCCGGTCTTTGTACGCGACACTTGAAATACCACGTGGTTTGTTTCCTTAGCCTCCATTCAAGGGCTGAAGATCATTAAGGGATCGCCCCGTCAAAGTGAAACTTACACTGCAGGACTCGAGCTTCAGTGTTAACAAAAGTCAGGTAAGTGCCAGAATCAGGTACACAAACCTGACAAATTTATCCAGCGCCGAAAATGACCGAATTTTTTTTTTTTTTGACTGTGCTCTTCAGAAGTTGTTGTCCATGCTTGGTTGTTTGATTTGGTTTTAAGATTGATTTATTTGTTTTGTTCATTGCCTGTCCTGTGCCCTTGTCAACACGAAATGGATTTTTCAAAAATGCCGACCCTGAGATTTAAAGCAAATGCGAGCACTGAGATCAAAATATTTGACGATGGCACTACTGGGCTTCCAAGCGAGCATGTCATTTTATCGATGGAGGCTACCAGACCAAATAACTAAGGAGTAGGCCTATTGAATCGTAATGTCAAGAAATCTGAATATTTGGTCCCTTGTCAATGGCCCAGGCTACTTGGTCTTGTATTTTCAAGGGACTGGACAATATAGCCTCGTCAGTGACAGTTCACAGGATGGTTAAAACCGGTCAGGATGGTCAAAACGGTCTTCGGTTGCGCCACAGTCGTTTTTTTATATGTCGAAAACTGACGCCTTTAGCCTCTGTTTGTACTTCTTCTGAGGTATAGACCTTCCTTAGCATGAGCTTGTAAGCATTATTGAGGGGTTTTAACGTGTGTTCAATTTCTTCTTTCTAACAAACACTAATTTGTAGTTGCCAAAATTCACACTGGGGCTTCTGAGATTTTTTTGAATGTATGAATAATGCCAAACGATGTTGCATAAAAGGCTTGACGTTTTCATTGCTCATAACAACTGAAAAAGTGATCATCCCCATGCCTCAAGGAATGCTATAGTATCTGTCAAAACTTTACATAATACATATACATGTCATTGCACTCGAAACGAGTTAAAACACCTCCAGCAAGCAAGAAGTGTATTACCCACACCCTTTTGCTAGAGGTTTGTTCATACAATCGTGTAATTGTCGATCGTTTTTAATCAAGGTGAAAGGCCATCCATAATCTACTCATAGTCAAAAGGGACTACGCTTTATCACTGTGATTTGAGCAAGTAGTAACATCATTTAGGCCGTCCATTTTGGCCTGGTTTGAGTCGGCAGACGCGGATCCAGGGGATAGGGGTCACCCCCCGGTAATTGCCGATTTGTTTGTTTGTTTTTTTGGTTTTGCTTGTTTTTGCGACCTAGTCTAAAGGTTTGTCAGTGCCCTTATGGCGTAAACTCTGTTAAGATGTGAAGTGGTTACAACAACAGCGACCTACACAGTTCAAAAATATATCGACCCCCAGCAAGAAATCCTAGAGATCTGCCCCTGGCAGGGAAAGCATGGGTAGGGTTTGGATGGTCTAGATTGGGTGAGATTTGGTGGACTCATACCGATTTTGAGAATGTTAGGCTACCAAAACGCGGGCGGCGGGGAATTCTGAATTGGATTATTTTTACAATTTTTTCCTCCTCACAACACCTCAGGCAAACCTGCCTTTTCTTCAGGATGTGCAGGGAACTCATTGGAGGGATAGTAGCCTTGCTGGTTGTTCAAATCGGTGCGCCCGCAGTAGGATGTACGGCGTACGGTATACAACCGGGCTCCTTAGCGGATACACTGATGAAGTTTTCCGACATCATAAACGGGATAAGTTTCGGATGGTCGTTATGGATTGCTGAAGCACTTGGAGCTGCATGCCGGTCCATAGCATCTGAAGGCTTTACTGTTAAGAGTGGCTTGGTAGTTTTCGTTGCTGGTTGTATGATCTTCGCAGCAATAAAAAAATTCTTCCAATGTCTCGGAATAATCGAGAAGTAATTATCCACGGGAGTTTTTATAAACCTAGAAAGCCTTAAAATAGATTTTCTTTCACGTTTAAAAAAGCTTATTTTAGGTCGAAAAGTACAGGTGGTAAAAATATGATACATTTTTCATAAGTCGGCAATTAAATTTCAAATGCTTTCCGGTGAATCGAGAAAAAAAGTTACATTTTCCGACGACGCGCCTTTCAATAAGGGGTCTCCTTTTCCAGGGGAACAATTTCTATAAATATGTATCTTTATCTCATAATGACTGCTAACTGGCACTGATATGGATATTGATTAGTACATAGCTGTGGGTGTTCCATGCACATGGAGCTGCGCTGTAAGCAGTAAGCCATAGCCTTTTGGTCATATGCAGTACTGTAGCCGCATTTACGTTGAGCCTCGCTTCGAACGTCGATCTTCTGCAGTGTTGTATCCAACTCGTACTTGTCGAAAAAAAAGAGCGGGGAAAAACGGCGGTTGTTTAAACGCTGATTTTCTGTTGAAGATGCATGATCGGATATTTCAAGGTGATGGTTCATCCATTTTTTAAAATTCTGAATGCTATACAATTAGTTTGTTTTGATTTGCTTCCATACAATTTACCACAAGCCTGAGTAGTATTTGTAGAGGTTAGTCCTTTTTTTTATAGTTATGTTCTTACGTATATTTTGCTAAGCATAAACATAGGTCTTAAATGAGTAAATAACAGTTTCAAACATGTTACATTTAATATTACACGTGTGACCGTTGTGATTTTTGTAGAACAATCAGGTTACAATAGAAATACACACATTTTAAAAGTTCCAGCGCTTTGCGTTTCAATACCAGTGGAATTCCTAAAGGTAAAAGGGTACATGTTTTTTAATTTGTGCGTTTGTTTTGCTGTTTTTGCCTCTTGGCCTTTTGTTTGGATCGAAACAACAGGGTCCCAAACCTTAATTTTTAACTGACACAGTTCCCCAAGACATTGGTTTTTCCATCAGTGACATCTGGCAATCCCTGCTCTCCTCCCAGTCTAATGGTCCTCTATACCCTAGGACACCCCCACCCCGCCTGTGGGTCTCCTGTACCCTCGGCCCTCACCCCGCCCCTACCTATGCCCAATGGACACGCCTCACTGACCTGCAGGACTCCGTCCCACATGAGCGCACACCACTAGCATCCTCGTCACATCCCGCTGCATCCAGC